ATTTGAAGAAAAATATTGCAGCAAAGGAAAAAAAAAAGTAATGTAAAACTTCTACAAAGGGGAGGGACAGAAGCAATAAATTTATGACATGTTCCGGGACTCGATGAACAAAATACTCGATAGTGCAAAATCATATGAATTTTACTATAATTAGTTGTAAAACTCTATTAAGAGAATATGGGAGTTTAAACAGGAGATAGGAGAGTAAAAGCATCATTTCTTGCTTAAAGGAATTAAATATTTTTCATGTCTAAATTGTTAAGAGAATTTTGTATAAGCATAACAATCTAAGTGGCAGTTATTTACCTAAGAAACATCTAAAAGGCATGTCCAACAGGTGGCCTGTGGGTGAAATATAGCCAAGGACAGCTATGAATGAGGCCCTAGAACATGCTATATAGATCAGGCTAGCCTGGACCTCACAGTACTCTGCCTGCCTCTGCCTCAGGAGTGCTGGGATTAAAGGCATGCACCACCACGTCCAGCCCACAAGGAAAGCTTTTTAACAGAAGGTGTTAGATAAACATCTTCCAGACTCTGTGGCTTCTATGCAAGTTATGTTACTTCAAATTTCATTTTAAAAAAACTTCAAAGAATATTATCAGTGTTTCTGTTACCTGTTTGCTAGAATGTGTAGAATACTTAATAATTAGATGTTAGATATCTGCTGGGCATCATGGTAAATTCTTTTGAGAAACTTTCTGTAACACTATGAAACCATTGGGAATTGGCTCATTAGTTGTTAGAAAGCAGCTCAGGGCATACTGCTCTCATGTTCCCCTGTCTGTCTCTTCACAGAGTTAGTGCCAACTATGGGAGAATTCCCCATTCCCCCTTCTTGATCTGGTGTAGGAACTTAGGTCAACATTTTCATACAGTAGTTGTTTTTTGTGTCCATACAAGCTATTGACATCTGTTTCAAGTAAGAGCACCAAAAGCTGAAAAAATGCTCATTGAACTATTTGCATGCATATTTCAATGTCAAGTGAAACTACGTTTTTTGTTGTTGTTTTTTTTTTTTTTCCAATCTTTTTTTGAGACAGTGTCTCCCTGTAGCCCAAGCTGTCCTGAACTCACTATGTAGACCAGGCTGGCCTTGAACTCACAGAGATCCACTTGCCTCTGCTTCCCGAGTGCTGGAATTAAAGGCATGCGCTGCCACGCCCGGCCCTGAAACTACTTATTTTAAAATATCAGTGATTTCCCTTTTATATATACAGTGTCTATTTTGTTAATTCTTCTTTATTCAACATAAAATTGGGGCTGGAGAGAGGGCTCAGTGGTTAAGAACACTGGCTGTTCTTGCAGAAGATTTGGGGTTTGAGTCCAGCACCCACATGGCAGCTAACTGTAACTCCAGTTCCAGGGGAATCCAACACCCTCTTCTGACCTCTGTGGGCTTTGAACAACATAAGTGCACTTACATACATCCAGGCAATACACTCATACACATGAAAATAATAAAATAAAAAATTTAAATTATTATAAAAAGCAGAATAACTTGGTCGCTAACATGTACTTGTTTATGTTATTTTATCTGGAAACTGGAAAATGGGTTTATTTTTTGCTTCAGTGGTAAGTTACTGACTAGGCTATGTTACAAAACAGTTATCCAGAATTCAGCCCATCTAAATGTTACTTCTTCATTTTCAGGGGTAGTCATCCATCCATCCATCCATCCATCCATCCATCCATCCATCCATGCATGAAACATTCATCCATCAATCCATTCATCTATCCATCTAAGTATTTAAACTTGCTTTTTCAGATACAGTTCAGTGGTACGGTACCTACCCAGCATGCACAAAGCCCTGGGTTAATGCCCAAATACAAAACCAAAGGGAATCAAACACACAATACAAAAAAGCACCTGCTGTTTGCCCAGCAGTAGTTTAGTTTCTAGGGATACAGAAGTCTAGAAAATGTCAGTTGGAGAATAAAGCTCTGTGCCTAATTGGTTGAAAATTTATACAAGAACAGTTTTAAGTAAAAGTATAAGCATATCTATGATTTAAGACCTTTTAGGATACATGATTATGTATTGTTCTTTGGTAGTTGCTACAAGTCTAGTTAATCATTCCCATTTATGATTATCATTTTACCATATACTTTATCACAGACATATGCCCAAGATGAAACACTAGCAAATTGATGGTGTAGAAACCTTTTCTCAGTCTTTCACAAGACTTAGGTCTATGTATGTCTTCCAACAGCCTTCCTCACTTGTCCAGCCAGCAAATGTCCATTCATCATTTAAAACTCTATTTCACCTATAAGCATCACCTCTAAAGTTGACCTCCCCTTCCTCTGTCCTATTTTTAAGTATGCATTTATTTTTTTGGATGTATTTTTTGTTATTTTGTATATATTAGTGTTTTACCTGCATGTATTTAAATGTACCTGTGTCATGCAATGCCTGTGGAGGCCAGAAGAGAGCATCCGATCTCATGGAACTGAAGAGGTTGTTAGCTGCCATGTGGGTGTTGGGAACCAAACCCAGGTTCTCTGGAGGGGCAGCCAGTGATCTTAACTGCTGAACCATCTCCTCACCCTCTCACATGTATTTTTATAATTGCAATGACACAAATATGCATTGACATATCACTAATTATTTCTATTTACAATGCAAACTTTGTGGGACTAGCACATTTGTCTTTCCGTCTTGTTTTTATCATGTAGCAGGCTGCTGGCATACACAGACATCCAACGTGTACTGGCTAACCTGAAGAGCCATTCCTTCTATTGTAGTTTGTGAAACATTGCAGAAATACATGCACATTTGTGCTAAAATGATCTCATAATTAGATGTAAATATTAAATATTTTTGAGTATTTAAAAAAGCATTATATTTTGCTTTATTAAACTCTTTTCCAATAAAGGAAATTATCATCTCTCTAAAAGCCCGATAATTATATAGCACACTTTTATTTTTAAAATTTCTGATGCTTATTCCTTCACTCTTCTGACTTTGTGCCAACATTAGGATACTGCTGCCTTGCAGCCTCCTCATTTTGTGCTCTACTGGCTTATTAATGCATCTAAAGCCCCTGCTAGATGTCAGCTGCATGAGAAGGAGGCCCTTGTCACTTTTATCTTTGTAGCTTTGGTGCATTGCAGTGACTGGAGGGGAGGGGCTCAACAAAAACTTGTTACACACACAAAGAGCACACTAACTGGAAGATGATAAACAGGCTTAAATCTCTGTTTCTTTCCTCTCGAGCTTCCTCTCGAAGCTGATTTATGATTTTCAGAAATGAACAAAATGTGCTAAATTTTAAATAAGCTTTGACTTTGTGGTTGAATAAGATTTGGCCCATGTGGTTATGGGCACAATAAAGGAAAAGAGTTGCCAAGTAAATATTTTTATTTTGTCCTTGCAGTTTACACTGAAAGAGGTCTTTTCTAAGTTTGAAACATGGAATACTGGGTTATATAATAGAAAAGTAACTAAGACCTTTATTTTGGAAAAAAAAAAACAGATCTATCAAATATTTTACTGAAGTTTAAAAGTTGAGGATTCTTTCTCCCTCTGCCAAAATGGTATGTTGCCCATAATTTCCTTTTGTCCTAACTGTGGACCAAAATACCATTTTTAATTGAGTTATTTGATGCTTGTGATTTTTTTTGCCAGCATGAAGGTACGTATGCCTTATAAAGTATTTCTAGATGAACAGTGGTGTTGGACATTAACTCTTGTAGATGGTTACATGCATATGATTTTTAAAGCAGTTGAGCTTACAAAATGTGGTGAGTTCTGAGCACTGTGTGAAGATGTGACATCTTCAAGGAGATACAACATCTATTATGCACATTCTTACTCACTAGTAGGTGGCAGTGAAAAATATACCCACAAGGGAATCTTGAAAATGATAGGTATAAGGAAATGATTTAATAAATAATTATATAGCTTTGGCAATTTAAAAAATAAATAATTTCAGAGGAAGATCTCAATTTTATGCCCTTTCTCCATTTTCAAATATGCCTAAGACTCATGGAAGAACAATTCATATATATACAGGTAGGTCATGACACTGGTGGAACATTTGGTTCAAAGTAATCCTCTAACTTATGCATCTCATAGAATCGGTTCAAAAATTGATACCATAAGTTGAGTTGATGTGAAAAAAATGCAAAACTGGTGATAAATTGTATTTCATTTGAAGTATGATTACAATACTTTTAATACTGTCTAAAGGCATTTAAAAAATAACATCACAAAATTTCCAAATGAGCATTTTATAAATAAAAGATCAAATCTGTCTTCATTTTTTTTTCTCCTAAAAAATTGCTAAATATAAGTTATGGGACTCATTCAAAGTCAAGATCCAGGTAAGAGAGCTTCAAACCAGACTGAAACTAGACCCAGTTCATTACCTTTTCTTCACTTCTGCAAACTTTTCATATTTTTCATTTTCCTGTCCTTAACAGTTTGGGTCTGTATTTTAACAGTATATTAATTTGAGTTATAATTTAGATAGATATCCAAGTAATTATATATGAAAGTTAACTTATAATGACTAGGAAAAACACACATTAAAACCTTGTATAGGGACATATAAAGGCTAATGTCATTTAAATTTTTCTCTATGAGACAGGCATGCACATTTAAATATCTAACCTGGAAATTTCACATAAGAATATTAAAATATTAATACAATTAAAAAATATAAGTGGCTGAATGTAAGTATAAGAAGTGTGAAATATTAATCATATCCCTAAGAGAAAGCCTGAGATAAATTAGAGAAGGGTCAGTTTCAAGAATCTGTTGGAACCAGCTAACAGGGGCAACCTGAAATGAGACAGAAATTCATCCTTCACGTTCATGCTGTTTCCAAACAGCTTTGACTCAATAATCTAAAACTGGTGGAGAATATAATTTGCCATTTTCCTAAACGGAAGTGACCTTTGACTTTGGAATAAAAACCACAAAAGAAGCTCCATGTATTTGCCCTCAGAAAAGAGGTACTGCAAAACAAACTTCTCCAACATCAGGTGCTTACCTGTCTCCATTTTCCCATCTTGCGCGGCAGGCCCGTCTGGAATCACGCTTTTCACCTGCAGAAACTCATCCGGCTCATCTCCACCGATGATGGTAAATCCAAAGCCCATGTTGCTCTTTTTCAGGGTGGTGCTGAGGAAAGTTCCCTTCAGCTGGGATGCATCCCGGGTGAAGAGCGGCTTTTCTACATTGACCAATACAAGTTAAAAGAGAAAAAGCATGTTTAAAGCAAGTTTTCAGATAAGAGCCAGACAGCCCCTGAGCAGCAATCCCAGGGGCAGATGTGGGGGAAGCATACAGCAAAGGCAGCAGGTGGTGACTTGAAAGGAACCAGGATACTAGGGCTTCCTACAAATGCAGAGCAGTCCCAAGCTTCCAGGGAATCATGAAGGGCTATGTGGTTGGATACAGATTATTAATATGTCCTTTAATGAAACTAGCCTTCTTGAGCACAAACAGGGCTATATCAACAGATTGTGAAAGCCTTCAGATAACACGTCTGACCTAAGGTCATTAGGGTCATCTGTAGCTATGAAGTTCCCAGGGAGGAGGTATGTGTGAGTGGCTGGTCCTGCACTGAACTGTGACCATGCGGGGCAGACAGTCAAAGAGCTGCCTTTTAAAGACATTAAACATGCGCAGTAAAGAAGCAGTAGACTGTGCCCACGTATTTAAAGGTCTAAATTACTTAGAAAGAGTACCTGGATGTGGGGTTGAGTTAATTTTTGTTTACCCTCTTACGTTGCGTGGTATTATAAATACAAGCAGATAAATTTCTATTGCCAGAGAGTGCTTAAAGGGTGAGCAAAGGCAAGCCAATATTTCTAGGTACAGTTATGAATGTAAAGGTGACACATTTTGCAACAATATGTTGACATATTCAAATCATATGCCTATAATCTGAATAAAACAGAAGTCTCAAAGATTTTGCCTGCTCATTGTGCTACAATAGACTTTTCAATTATAAGTTGTAATAAATACATTTCTAAGTATATTAAATGCTTTAGAAATTATAGTCATATTAGAAAGCAAAATTAGTATCTCTTTAAATTTCACCTGAGATAAATATTTTATTTTTGTTTGGCTAGCTCTGTTGGTAGATCATGAAACTTTTAAATATTTTATTTTAATTACTTTTTTGAGACAAGTCTTGCTCTGTAATCAAGGGTGGCCTTGGATTCATCCTCCTTCCTCAATCAGCCTCCCAAGTGCTAGAATTACAGGCATGCACCACTACCTTAGCTTCCCAGATAAACATTACATATGATACTTTTTGAGGGTGGTATGATTTGATATCTACAATAGCCAAACTCTAAGTGGCAACTCAGTTACATATTTTGTATGATACTTTCAACATTCTGTTCTGTATTTTATAAAATGAGCTATAAAAAATGAGTCTTTATGATGGAACTTTTTACCCATCATATATCTTTATTAAGTTTCTTAAATGTAATTTATAAAACCCCTCCTATAATCGTCTTTCATGTATTCATCAAAGCAATGCTTACTGATGGAGACCAGCTCCACAGGGGACCTTTACATTCATTTCAAGGTGCTGAAGGAGTGTGATGTGAACCTCATCAGCAGGCAAGTGTAGGATCAGGTCACCAAAGCCTCTGTGCTCTGGAACCGCGTAGCCGCCCAGGAGAGGTGTGCGAGGTGGTTCCCAGGTGTAGTCAGGTCCACAAGCAGCCCTGGGACATACCGAGTGGCCAGGGCATCCCCCTGTAGTCACGCCGATAGTAAGACAAGTCATTCACACTGTGGGACCTCTCCCGGGCAGCGCGGGAGCAGACGGATTTGGGCCTAGGTAATGTCACTGAGGAGCTGCCTACTGTCACAAAGGAAAACACGCCTCATTCTCATGCTTGGTCTTTAGAGGGCAAACTTAAAAGTCTCTCATTCTCTGAAGTGTACAGTGCCCCACTGTCACACCCACTAATCTCCACCTGGCAACGTGCAAAATTTCTGTAAGGTACTGACCAGGGGCCTTAGTATAGTTTGTGGCTGATAAATGCATCAGTTTACAAATGATACAAGCACCCAGTTAACTACTAGAAGGGTCTGAAGAAAGCAAACGAGTTACTCAAATTGGCCCCAGCTATAGGCATATTTGGAGGAGCAGACAGTTTGTCAGACAATGTTTCCCCGTGCGACCCTGCATGCTGACATGGTACGGTACCTCGGAAACCTGGGGCCTGCAGGGGCTTTGTTCCAAGTTCTGTGTGGGGCATGTTATGCTGCTGTAGCTTCCTTTTGGCTTCCAGGACAGGGTTTTCAAACTGTGTTCTTCTATTTATGTGGCTAAAAAAGAAAATTTTAAATTAGGATAACAGTGGGGCAAAGTCATTTAGGAGAGCGCACGTACAGCTCTGTGGAGAGCAGGTGATTAAGGGACACCTCGTCAGCTTGCAGCCAAATTCCTCACCCAGCATGCATCAGGCTTCTGATGCCGCTGGCCTATTCACAACACATAATGTTATTATATTTACCATATGCATGAGTTAGCCAAAGGAAGCAGAACAGCACTTGCTTTCTGGTCTAACGTGTTCATAGGAAATGAGTTTGATGCACTGAAATAAATGGTCATCAAATGAAACTTAAACTGAACAGTGCCAAAGAAAAGTATAGCATCTAAGATTTGTAAAGTAATTCCCACAGGATAAATGTGAGATGAATTCGCTGATAGTGCTGAAAAATGAAAAAAAAATTTTTTTACATGTATTTATTTAGTGTGTGCGTGTGTGGCGGGGGTGACGGAGGGGCTGGTGAGTACACACATACATGCGCCAGAGAAAACTTTTGGGGATTTGTTTTCTCTTTCCACCATGTGGGTCCTGGGGGGGGGTGTGTCAAACTCAGGTCATCAGACTTGGTGACAAGCGCCTTAGGAGCTGAGCCATCTTGCCAGCTCGGCAATGTATACTTTTAACAGTCAGACTTGGATGGAAGGGCTGAGACCCAGTAGGAAGATACTTGTGGAAATGATAAAATACCCATGTTGGATATTTGCTGCTGAAACACACCTAAGATCTGGCACCTGCATTCTTCATGGTGAGATGGAAAACTAGTAGATAGGCACAGAGTGACTAGAAACAACTGGGGCCCAGCTAAGCTGGGGATTTCCGGGGCATTCTCATGTAACCAGCTGTTTGAAGCTCAGAGACTAGAAACCTACATCCCTACCCAGTAGTGGTGTCCAAGCCACTCTATCTCCAGCACAAAAATGTCCTGGGAGAGGGCTGGCATATACATTGATCTTGGTTACTTGTATTGACAGGATTATTCCATGAGAGTATGAAGAAGAGAGATGGGTTAGAAGAGAAAATTACAGTTATTAAGTATTTAACTTCTTGCCAGTTACTATAAATAATAATATCCCATTAAGCCTCAGATTAACACGGGCCTAAATGGGAAATATTCCCATTTAAAGGTGGTAAAAAGGATATGCAGAGAGGTGAAGTGACTTGTTCTAAATCACATGCCCAGTAAGTAGAAATGTTAGGATTTAACCATCATGTCTATTTCTGCAAAGGAGCTCTTCTTATCCATATGCTGTCTCTTTTCAATGTATGATTTCAAATTGGCAAGTACATTCATTTAAGATGCCTATGCACACACACATATCCACAAACCATTCATTATACTTTCTAAAACCACATAGCAGAAAAAAAGAGGAGATAAAAGAAACAAAATTTCAACCAATTTTCTGTTATTATGAATCATATATCTGGTGAAACAGAAGAGCGGTTACTGGGAATAAGATAAGATGATTGCAGTATATTGAATGATTTCCTTGTGGGAGGCAGGGCAGGAATGCTGTCTTCCACATGGCCTCTAGAGTCAATCAGACCTGTATTCAAATTCTAACTCCGTGGTAACTGTGCAACCTTTGGCAAGTTATTAAACCTGAGTCTTGGTTTAATTAAACCCAGTCTCTAAACTGGGCATAATATTGTCTCTTGAGGTGATTGTGAGGATTAAATGCAATAATCAGTATGAGCCCTCACTTTTAGCATAGATGCATGGTAATTACTAGCAGCTATTATTGTGAGTCTCGTCATCTTAGCTGTCACTGTCATTTCAGTCACCTCCATCACTGCCTTCCAGGACTTTGCTCCCATGGCTCATGCTACTTAAAAGAAAAGGAATGATTGCTACAATGCTATTTGTAATGAAATTTACTTTGTACACAATGGGGTTTAATATAACTGCTTAGGGAGAAATCTTTTCCAGTGGAAGCAATCCTCTGTGCATGAAGGAGTCTCTGCAGCTGTAGCATGTGGTGAACTATGCTACCACTTTTAAAGCCTCTTCACTCTGGAAACTCATATGGGGCCATTTTGCTTCAGAAAAGTCAGAGTTTGAAGCCCCTTCTCCTTTTCTCCATCCTCAGGTAACTTTCTTAGCAAAATCCTTTGAGTCTTCCCTACATGACTTTGTAAGATTATCTTTGGCTTCTTTGCCACAGATGCTTTGGACATACCTGCAGCTATTCTAATAGGCAACATCCCATCAAAACTCATATTTTTTTCAAGTGAGATTCCGTGTATCAGTAGTGTGTTGCTTGATCACATTAGCCAGGTTTAAGGCAGCATCCTGAGACCATTTCGAAGCTTCCTTTAATCATCTCTGTCCTGTCTACCACTTGAACCTTTAATGCCCTGAAGAGCCATGTGTTAAGGCTTGGTCCTCAGCTTGGTGCTGTTGGAAAGTGGTGGAAATCTTTAAGAGGTGGGGAGTGGGAGGTCTTAGATCATCAGGGGCGTGCTCTCATAAGGAAGCGTGGGACCCTGGTGCCTTTCTTTCTTGTCATTCTTCCAGTTCCTGGCCATGAGGTGAATGGCCTCCTTTGTGTCCTTCATTGTGATGTACCACTTCATCACAAACTCAACACAATAGGGCCATTTGGTTATGGAATTTGGCTTCTAAAATTTTGAAAAAATTAACCCTTTTTCTTTTCAAGTTGATTGTCTTAGTTAGTTATAGCAATGGAAAGGTGACTAAACACCAGTCTTATCTATAAAGTGGGAACATTAGTATCTGTTTCATGGGGTTGCTGGGAAACAAGAGATATGTTGTTAAAGAGCAGATACATGAGAGGACCCTGCAACTGTAAAGTCATTAATGTCATTACTGTTTGAAATAACTATTATTTATTACCATTATTATAAACACTGCTGCTTTTAGTACCATTATATTATAATGCCTTTCATACATGTCCCATACCACTTCCTTAGTTTGTCACAGACACATTGCCACCCATCATGCATCTCCTTCTGGATGGTTACTAAATCGCAGAACTTTATTTCAGTTTAGTTATCTCCCAAATCCTTTATCAAGAGGGCTTGCGGAATTTCTGAAGATCATTAAGTAAACAAAGTCAGAGCAAAATTATTTGAATCTAAAAAGATAAACAGACAAAATTGAAAACAGAGGGTCCTATTAGTTTACTAGAGCTGTAATTAGCTTTGAGCTTTAAAACTACTTACTTAACAAGAAAGAGGAAATAGTTATATCCTTTAGGATATTTAGGATAAACTTATGTTCATAAAGACATGATATTCCTGTGATTTAGTCTTCTGAGGCATTTCTTTCCAAGTCTTCAACTGTGGTGGCACAGTATTAGAGCACCCTAAGTGATGACTGCACAGCAGTGAATTTCACGGTTCTATCCACCTTCCTGGGATGATTTAATGATAGATCACCATGCTTCTGAGCTTCTCTACACTGTGAACTTCTATGCACAGGGCCATATGTTATTATTTATCTTTGTACACTAAGCATCTAACACAGTGAACGTCAATACTATTTGTTAAATAACTATGTTGAAGATATGTTGAGTTGTTTTCAAATATATGGCAGAAACTTAAAAAAACCCACCTAAGGCCCTTACCTCCCTCTGCTTCCCTGGGCCTGCAGGACCCACAGGCCTCTCTCCAGGGTAAGTCGATTGCGCCTTCCTGCCTTGACTCACCCAGCCTCATTTGCCCTCCCATCTCCCCCACTCGTCTCTCCTCCTAGCCTGGGTCCTGTCCCATTCCTTGTCTTGGTGCCCCAGACACTGGGGGAACCACCACTGTTTCCTGATCCTTTGCATCCAGAGCAACTCAGTTCCTTCTCAGGTCCCCAGGAGCACTGCTTCTGGGCCCGGCCAGCCCTCACCTCCCTCTGTTTCTCAGACCCTGCAGGACCCTCGGGCCTCT